TGCAGAACCTGGGGAATTGTAAGTGCTCAATAAATGGTTGTGGTTATTAGTGATGCTGATGATGATGCCATTCATTATAATAACCAGCCATGGAGATGGGAAACTCTATTGTAGGTTCTAATCATAAACAAATAGTGTACTGAAATTTCTTTTCTAAAATGTCTTCAAACTAATATCAGATGTGACCAACAAGGTTTACTGAACACCACCTGGAATTTTTGTGCACACAGTAACTCCTCTGGTAGCTACAGCTTAGACGGGCTCCTGCAGCAGGAAACTGTGGCCTGAGGACTAACCTCTTGTGATAATAGGATACTTTAAACAAAAACACTGTAAAGGAACACAGGAAAATATTTATTAAGTAGTACTTGGCAGCTTTGAATTCAACATTTGGAAGCTTATGGAAGTAAAAAATAGTTTTAAGTGGTAAATGTTTTTGACTCATTTACTTAAATGTATTTGGCAATTATTAATTGCAAGAAAATCTTTCTATGTATGACTAGCTTTGATTATTTTTAGTATTTTTATGTTTTTCTAGATGGAGGTAAAAACAAATGCTGAGTGAGGTTCTTAGTCTGAATAGATTAATTTGAAGTCTGAATTGTAGGACTCTGAAAAATGAAATCTAATTATTTTCAAGAACAGGTGGTGGTTAGTTTTGTGAACTAATAAGAGTTCATGAAATCTTGGGGATAAAACTACAGATTTGTCCAAGGTCATTGCTTTACAGTTGAAGAATGTATATCATTCAACTCCGTACAATCCACAGTGAGACGGAGATATGGATAATCAGGGAGACCTGATCCTATCATACTAACGAATCTCCATTTTACATAGGACGAGAGGGAATTCAACTAAGATCACAGAGCCAGTGGTGGAGACATCATTCACCTCAAGATTGGAATTCTTAGGGCAATTTCCTTGATACTTTAAGTTGTAGGTAAAGGCTGAATATAATTACTTGGAATAACTTGTTAATGTTATCTTTGTGTTTAAAGTCCTTATATAGGCTCATTAGGATATTAAATAGTTATGTGATATTCCATACCACTATGTCCATCATTGACTTTAAAAAATAAAGTCAGGACCGTAGAATGTTCCTGTTGAAGGGATGAGGTTTGTCTCTGGAAAATAATTGGGTAGGACCTAAGCCAAGTGAGTGTTCACTGAGTTACCTCTGAGTCCTCATATTTCATGCCTTCTTGACTCTTGGTTATACTTGGGGTTGAAGAACAGAGTCTTGTGCTCTTAGGTGGGGTCCACAAAGTTCAAGTCAGGCACTGGCAATCCTTTAGTAGAATATGTGCTGGCAGTTGTTGAGATCAGGTAGTTAAATAGATTTTTGGAAATAATCCTTTGGGAGGATAGCTCTCATTCCATTTGTAGATATGTACGGAGTGGCCTTTTTCATGGTGAACAGTTCAATTTTCACCTTGTTCTTCCTGGTATTTAATTGCATTTGGAGTAAATAAAAATTAAACCATAACTATAGATCTTGAATCATATGGAAATGGGAAGATGCAAATTTTAGAGAAGAAGTAATGCAAAGGAGAAGGAGTGGGGAGTGGGGGGTGAGAGAGAAAACGTATGTGCAGAAAAACAGAAGGCTACTGAAGAATTCATTAGGGTTGTCTTCTATACCATGGAGATAATGATGACTGAAATAGGCTAGACTGAAGGCTAGACTGAAGAATTCGTTAGGGTTGTCTTCTATACCATGGAGATAATGATGACTGAAATAGGTCAAATTCACTTCCCTGTATATCCCTGGAGTTAAGCTGACTTTCAATGATGGGAGGAGGACCCAAGAGAAAAGTCTGAAATATTTAAGTTTAAGCTTCTTGTGAGAGGGCAAAAATGGGGAGATTACCAGGAGGAATGATTTGGAGTGATAAAGTTGCAAGGCAAGTGATCCCTCCATTGTTAGTGTACTAAATGAACAATCCCATAGAAGACTGTTTACAAGTGTTGGAGATGTTCTTAGCAGCGATCAGTTGGCCAGTTTTCCCACTGAGTACTTTGCTTCAGCTAAATGAACTGAGAGCAACATTTAAGATGGGTGTTTCTCTTGGTTTCATTTTTCACAATTGATTTTTTGAAAGCAAGATTTGTCTCCTATTTTTTCCAATGAGTTTTAAATATTTTACAATATAGTATGTTATTTCTATCAAATGTTTATTGTGTGATCAGGTAAATAGAATTGTGTCATGCTGAAGGTAAAGAGGCTATGGTCATCTTTTCCACTGAGGAAATGTAGACCAGAAAATATGTTATGTTTGGATTCTCATGATCAGTTCTTTAGAATTGTTCACTTGTTAATGGACACTCACCTAAGATACAGTTTATTTTCTGAGAGAAGGGAGTCTGCATTCTGAGCATCCCCCTTTTTTTGGTCTACATATTGAAAGAAATCAGAGATTCAACTTTGAGCTCATGTAGAGCATCACCTAAAATACTGAACTATGGCACTGTCAACCTCCTTTCTTTCCTTCTAGAACTAATACCTCCCCTTGCTCAATACCCTCTCCTTTTGGGTATCTATCATAGCAATCCCTCATCTGTTTGTGGATCTATGGCTGGGTAACTGAGACAGTATTTCCACAGAAGAATGAAGGTTTTTTTTATACTTGCTTGCAACCTGACTTAGGGTGGGAGCTATTCATAAATATTTCCTATTATGAATGAGTATAAATATTTTTTAATTCATAATTTGATTATTTGTAGATTTTTTGTTCGTAGTGGGTCCCAAAATAGGCTAAGGGAAAGTTTGGAAACAAATCTAATATTCATTTCAAGATCCAGAAGGACGGAGATAGGGTGGAAATATGAGCCAACTTAAAATTAAAAGCCAAAAAGTTGGCTTTCAATACTCAACCACGCACTTTCAAGATCAGAGAGAAAAGGGTTAACAATGGCATGTGCAATTGCTGCTAAATATTCCCTCTGCTATGTTATGAGAGTGCCAGAAAGGCTAATGCAATTCTAGGTGCACTTTTTATGTTTCAACAGAAGCATAGAAATACAAAAAAGGAAGTAATAATTTCATTCTATTTTGAGGTGACACCAGGAGTCTTTTGTTCAATTGTGGGTAACCAATTGATGAAGACATCTAGGAGGGTGCTGCAGTGGTAAATTTTAGAAACCTTTGGACAAGAGGAATTTGTTAGCATTACTGGGGGTAGGGAGAGTTCTGGAAGGAACTAGGTAAATTCTTAAAAAGCTGTTATGTGGAGCAGATGGATTACATGAATTTTGGTGACTCTAACAGACAAAACCAGAAATAGTGTGTAGAAATTTCAAAAATATAGGTTTGAGCTCAGTGTAAGGAAGAACTTTCTAGCAGAGTTGCCTCCCCAAAGGCATGGGGGACTGGGTTTCTCAAGTCAGATATGTTCAAGAAAGGCTGCACAGCTCTTACGGAATATTTCCTATTGGGTTTTCTCAGTGAGTCACTAAGGTCCTTTTTAACCTTATGGCTGTAATGTTGTAAAACAGTCAGATTGCATGAGAGACAAGAAATGCAACTCAAGGTCTCTAAAGTGGAATGGCCATCAATAGTCTCCATTTTCACCAATGCAGGACATAGCATTGATGCAGCTGTCCAAGGTGCTGGCAGGAGGGGGCCTGTGTGGACATTGGTTATTTTCTGGTTTTCTTCATGGTTGTATTATGTTTATGGATTTTCAGTTTTTATGTTTCATATATAAATCTATTTTCTCCCTACCCCAACATACACACACACACATCAGGCCCTTAAATAATGTAAAGAGAGAAATGCATACGAAATATGTACAACTACAATTAAACTCAACCTGGGACTTCCTCTCCACCATTTCAAGAATAAGTGAATCCATTTTACTTTCAAAGGTTAGGCCTAGTGCCAGATGTTGGACTGTTTGTCTGGATTGATATTTAAAATAGAAACCAATTGTTTTGAGATAACTGTACTGATTTTGTTTCTTGATTTCTTTATTTTATGCTTTCTATAATACATATATATCTTGAGTGGAGCTAGTAATCTTAGGCAGAAAATTACCTTTACAGTGAGGTGGAATGAACACTACATATTTCAGCTAAACAGCTCTGTAGCCTGTATTGGTGATAAATGGTGTTTCACACCCTCTTTATGTTGCCTTTCTTATACTACTTGATTCTCTCATCCCTTAATTTTTAAAATGGAGACAATAATAGTACCATCCCTTAGGGTTGTGAAAATGTAGCAAGTTAATACATGAAAAATAACTTACAACAATATCAGGTGCATACATAACAAATATTAGTGTTAGTATATATTGTGTTTAGGGTTCTTCAGACCACCCTCAGGTTGAACAATTTGCTAGAAGATTCCACAAGATCCAAAATAGCTATTATACTCATGGTTGTGGATTGTTACAGCAAAAGAATACAAACTAAAATCAGCTTTTGAGAGAAGGTCATAGAGTGGAGTCCCAAACTAGTTAACTAATTGCAAGTTTCCAGTTTTCAGTGGGGGCAGATAGAGCTTCATTCTCTCAGAAAGCATGTGTGATAGCACATGCAGTATCTCCAACTAAGGAAGCTCACCCATGCACCTTGGTTTCTGCATTTTTTTATTGGGGGGGGGGTCTCAGGTGTCAGTAACATAGGCATGCAGTGCCTGTGAAACTGACCTTAGCTCCTTGGTTTTCACTTCCCTGCTGCCCTAGAAGAAGAGATCAAACTGACAGTGTGATCCAAATCTCAGGCATACAAAGGCAGGCATTCACTATCACATTCTTATCATAAATTAGATGGCATGGCCCCAAATCTGAGGCACACAAAGACACTTTTATCAGGCAAGATACTCCAAAGGGTTCAGCGAGGTCTATTAAGGGACCATCTTGAAGGTCTCTGGAATGTAGAGAGCTCAGGACTACTGAGCTATTTACCACATGCATATGTAAATTTTGCTTATTTAAACAACCCAATTCAACAATTTTCTTAATGTTTTGAAAGTTTTATTTAGTATATGAACATTTATTGAATCTCTACTGCATATATATAGCACTTATAACATTTTCTCTTTAAGCTGGAAAATAATTTCAGTTTTAATCTATGTTATAAATCCAGAAAAAAAAAGTGTATCACCCCAATATGAAAGGACACAGAAGTTAAAGAACTATTCTGCAACTATTGTTGCAAATAATGGTGGTGCTAGAGGGCTCTATACATTTTAACAACATTTATATGACAAATGATTAATGTACATAATTATTAGTTTTAGTTCTTAACAACTGTTGAGGTAGGTGATAGTTCTATTTTGCAGGTGAGAGAATAAAGGTCCAGAGATTTTAAAAACTCCCCAAGGCTCTTTGGTGAGTAAGGGTTAGAATCTACATTTACCATCTAATTCCAAATCTTTAGGTCTTAACAATCATTTGTGATAGTTTCCTATAAAGGTTCAAAAAGAATTTGAAACATTAAAAATGCAACATTTATTTTGGCTTTATATGGATCAAGATTTATAGTGTTTGGATACTAGGGCAGAGTTATGGCTAGAACTTATGTGTTTCTTTTACCAATAGAAGAGATTTCTGCAAAGAAGATTGCAGGATGCCTCTCCCCATAAAAAGGTGATATAGAAGACACAAAGTCAAGGAAGACACAGATACACAGATATCTGGTGGGGGGGTAGGGTGTGCAAATTCTATAGTTATTTTGCATCTTGACTAATACGGGGAACATAAAATCCAAATGCCTTCCAAGGTTACAAAGTTGTTGCCACCATGAATTGTGATTATATCTTTTTCCTTCCCCTATTATCTAGATCTCAGTCTGTGGTAGAAGCCGGGACCCTGAAACATGAGGAGAAAGGAGAGAATGAGAACACTCAGCCCCTCCTGGCTCTGGACTGAACCCTGACTCACTCCAATACTTCTGCATATCGCCAGCCTTCAGTGGTATCAGCCACCAGGAAGCACATGCGCAACTGACCCACACAGACATGCGTTCGGCTTGACACAAGGCCCTTCACTCCTGCCACCTAGTGATGACTGTCACCAGCCCATTGGTCTGAGCAGCCAAAGTTGAATAAAGACTTGAGAGACACTTTTTTTTTTTCTAAAGAGGATTAGAGGATGAAGCAAGGTCATTTATGTATACAAGACCCCCCCCCTTCATATTTATGGTATTAAATGAATTTAAGAAAAAGAAAATTTGATGCATACAATGTATCAGGACAAGGATTTTTCTGAGGAATCACACAGAGATCCTCTTCAGTTTTTGCAGTTTAAGATTAAGTGCATTTTCAAGTAGATGTTTCAGAATTAAACCGTGCAAACAAGATTGTCAAGTTTAATGTAGTGCAAAGCCCCGAGATTAATATATCTCCAGTAATTTTTATTCTCATTCAGTTATTTTCTTTGACCTCATCACCAGCATCAAATTGTTCAGCCTAAGAGCATATTCTCATAGTTCTGGCTATTTGCAGTTTGTTTATTTTAACATCCTGCAAAAATGATTTTTGTTGTCACATCTTTTGTCAGGCCTCCAGCTGACTATCATGAGCTGACTTGAAGAGACACATACGATTTGCAATATGATGAAATAATCTTAATGTGACTTCCCACATGCTGCGTGTGTCTGCATAAGTGCTGGGGGTGTCATTAAAATTACTTGCCAGTGATTAATGAATCCATTCAAGTTGCCTCATATGGGTCACTACTACAAAGAATAGTGCTAAAGCAGCATTACCCACCCACCTGCTTGTGACACTTAAAGATGTGAAAAAAAGGGCCGGGCTTTTGTTGAGAGGAAGATATTCGATCATGGAGGAAGACCCTTAAGGATAGCTAAATATGCAAGTGCTGAAGATAATAGAAGACTAGTAATACAGGATGAAATGCCAAAGATCATTTTATTTTGTTGTCTATTCTCCTTAGAAATGGAGTCCCAACTAGACATTCAAAGGAAATTAAATAAAAATAAACAGATATCATAGGATATGATATGCCTACCTGTGCCATGTTTCCCAAAACCAGTTTTGATTTTTAGATTATTTTAGATATCCCTTATATTCCCAATCATCTGCATGACATGGGCATTTGTTAGTATGACCAGTTGGTGCTCAGTGTCAAAAAATATTTTAGTTGATAATGGACAGTAAAATATGATCTTACAGTTTAAGTATTTGGGAGGGATAATTTGTTAGCTAAAGTTATGAAAGAGGTGATTCAACTGTCCATAATCACCCTCAATAAATATTATTACTAATCATAACATTTACTACATCTCTTTATGAATGAATCTAGTGTTTTATTTTTTTCTACTTGTAGAGAATAACAAGTAATTTTTTGTATTCCACCCTTAAAATAAAACTGAAATAGAATCAAAATTATTTCTCACCAATTACATCACAATATAAATAAAGCAAATTCATTTTGCATAAACTTTCAATTAATAAAATAATAACACTGAAATAATTCTACCAATGTAGTGACTGAAACACTTTTCTGATATACCATGACGTGGGGAAGAAAGATGAAGAATTAAAATGTATTAGAAAATCCATTTTATTACTTGGGTTTATAAAATAGTTGTGGGATCTAAGTATTTAAAATGTTTTTGGAGTCGATCAATTCCAACACTTTGCAACAATAATAATGATTCTGGCTTTTCAATTGGCAATATTTAGAATCTTACTGTAGTGACCCAATTTTAAATGCCATATTACAATTACTAAGTTAAGAGCTAGTTTTTACTCTATGATTTCATTAAATGAATGTATGATGATGGTTTAACAATGACAAACTCATGCTTTGAATTTCTTTATGTGTATGCAATATACATACATAAACCAAATTCAATAAGTGACATGAATGTTACTACATGAGCATTGGATTGTATTGTCCTTTGTCAGTCATTTCCTTTGTTCAATAAATACTGAAGGACACAAATATCTTTTTTTTTTTATAAGTTTACTTTCTCTTCTGGATTTGGTGATTCATTTCGATGTTTCCTTGCATAATTCTCCATCGATTTAATGGGATTTTTGAATACTGGTAAAAACATATAGGACTAGGATATTCTGCAAACTGGAAAGCTAGACGCTAATGTCCTCAAGGACAAGCAAAAAGAGTCCATTTCAACTTTAAAAAACTGTATTTTAAATGAGATAAAGCATTCTCCTTTGTCCTTAGAAAAAAATAAGTGCAAGCACCTGAGAATGAAATTTGGTAATATATGTGTCATTTCTTAAGCATTTTTGTTCATACTGGCTTAAAATTCAGTGCATAAATACCGTAACATTCTCACAGCTAACATTTCTCATTAATTGATTTAGACAGTACAAAATTTAGTACATTAATACTCTACTAAATCAAAGACTTCATCACCTTTGGAATGAGTAGACAGGCCGTCTTTCAATTATTGTTTCTACATTCTGGCATTCTTTCTCTTTCACTGGGCCATCTTTCCTATTTTGATAAAATTGTAATGGGAATCATCTCAAGAACTGAACATCACTCACATGGGTCTACAATAAAGGCAAAGCCATTCTGGATTCCGGAGAGCCAAGAGGCACACGCCATATGTCCTACCAGCTACCTATCCACTCAATGCTCAAAGAAAAATTTTACTTTGAGAAATTCTACCCCCTCCACCAAAATTTCAATATTTGGCTTAAAAAATTTTACATGTGGCATTTTTATAACTCAATATAAAATGATTCCATTACCTTTGCATTGTGAAAAAATTTCCTCTGGGAAAAAACTATGATTTTGACACTATCTCTACCATTTGCATAGCAAGGAGGGAAATTAAGATTTGGCTGTCAGTGCAGATAAAAAAGCAAACAGACTCAATTAGTATGGTGCAGTAGAGCTCACAGGTCTTGCCATAATTATGACTTTGTCCTTTGTACGAGGAGAAGTCATTTCTCTTAATAAAAGAATTAGGAACTTCTTTTATTAGGAAAGTAAAACTGCTTTCTTCATATGAGTCTTTTGCTAAAAATAATTAAAAGATGGAAGTCTGAGCTCACCAGGAAAGTTACCATTAATCAGGTACAAGTAAAGCATTTACAGGGCTTGTCATTAAAATCAACAAAAAAAGTAGTGGTAAATGATGAAAAAATCATCTAGCTACTCTAGAAAAATATAATTGCATAGAAAAATTACAAACTAAAGCAATACATTCACATTTTCTAAATGTTTTCTCATTTTACATTGATTTAGTCCTATGCTACGTGGGAAAAATATCTTTGGCTAGCAAAGTAGAAGCTATGACATATTCCCCTGAAATACAGGCATCAAATAGGTGCTGTCATGGGCAAAAAGACAGCAGATATTTTCTAAATGCATTGCAGTGAGGCAAATATTCCCTTTAGTGTCTTCTCATCCTAGTAGGAAGTTTAGAATTTTGGGGGTTACAAGTCAAGGAAATTAAGGGTCTTGGAGTTCAAACTTGTATCTCCACTTGCAAGGTGGCAGAATCAGAAAGACCATCTCTCTCCAGTGTGTCCTGAGCCAGCATAACTTGCTAAATTGCAGGAAGGCTGTGTCTCTGCTGGGGAGTCAGTTCTGGGTGCCACACATCCACGATGAATATCAGCCGGAAGGATGTGGCCTCCTGCCACACCTCATGCTCAAAGGAGTCGTCAAAGATGAGTACCTTGCCTTCTTCCCAGGTCCTGGAAGAGAAAAACGTGGTGTCATGTGGTTCACATGCCTGAGCATCAGTTCATGTCTATGTGCAGGAAAGCATTTCCATGATGACCTGTGGAATAGGACCAGGTAACTGGAGCACCATGCTGGAATCTATTCTTTCCTTGGCAATTAAGAAAGAAGTTCTAGATTCTTAGCATGAGCATCAGTTTTCAATGCTCAGCCCTAAAGGTTTACAAAGGAATGGTACTAATGAGAGGGAATGCTGATCTCATCACAGGTCCCACAATTGTTCTTGGTCCAACCCCAGCTAGGCTTGCTGAGTCAGGCAAGCATTCAAACATGTGCCCCAGTGGACCATTACCAGGTGGCCATCAATGGCCCGGTGACTATCTTCCCTGGTTTAAGGTCTTGGGCAGCAAATAGGTCTCAGGCATTCCATCCTTATAGGAACCTAACATGGTGTCTGCAGATAAATCTTCAAATGATTCTCTTTTTCAATTCATTCCATTTGATAGTTCAATTTTATGGAAGAAAGCTTAGGAAACCATAATTCATTATTTAACCCAGTAACCAGAAAGCCTATAACTAAATGAGGCGTTTCCTAGTTAGTATTTCAACTCAGAAAAAGAGGTAGATTGAGAACAATTTTTTTTTTTATTTTTAATGTTATTTAGTAAGTGGGTATTCCATGGAATATTTTAAATCTATACTGCAAAACGTACTCAAGGATTTCAGCAGTTCTTCCTAAGATACCTGTATAGGAGATAAGTTCTAAATCTAGCCTTAGTCTGCATGAAATAATCAAGAGAGAGATAGGCGGGGACAATTACACAGTAATTTTCAAATTCAGAAAAAGTTTATTAACTGTGCTGAAGTTCTCTCAATTTAAATGCCAACAGGTTAGGTGGCAAGTTATTTGTTTCAAATAAAGCTTTTACTAGAAAATTTTCCTTAGATATTAAAATTCCACTCAACCATTAGCAAATGATTAAAATTATAGGTTGGAAAATGCTAACTTGATTTTAAGTTATTGCAATATCATAAGGGATTTTTCTTTAGGAAAATGAATTGTATGTTTTTATGTTCATTACGAGGTGATTAATCAGTATTAAATTACATATTATTACACATTGCATGGCTTATCAACCCTGGCACTTTTGATATTTTGGATCAGACAATTCTTTGTTGTGCAGGCTGCCCTGTGCTCTGCCCCTGCCCAGATGCTAGTCGCACTCCCTTACCAGTTAAGTCAATCAAAACTGTCTCCAGTCGCTGTCAAGTGTCCTGGAGGAATAGAGGCAAACTTGTCCCAGACATAGTGAATAAATCTGACAATTCATTTAATTATCTAAAGTAACCAGTATTTATTTAAAGTAATTAAAATTTTAAAATATTTAATTATTATTTAATTACTTTAATTATTTAAAGTAACCAGTAAAGTGATGAATAGCTGCAAATTTAAAGCTTCTTGAAGTTGGGAACCGAACCTCTACTCTGCTACCCATTTCTCCAGCCCCCTACATTGTGTGCTATCTCATACACCTAGCCTAATGTCTTGCACTGATTTCACTTCAATATAATTCCTTTGAAGATCTGAAGAGTTCTCCTGGGTTCATGCAAGTCTAACCAAAGATAAAAAAAATAGAGGGACACATGGAAAATCAAACTTGAAAAGAAGGGCAAAGCTAGTAGACTAAGCAATGTCAATGAGTACCACTGATAAGCCAATGATATAGACAGAAGAGAAGGCAGTGGGGTTGGGGTGGGAGAAGGGAAAGGCAGTACAACTAAGTTCATTTCAGCATTGCAGCAACCAAAAGCAACCCAGGTATCCATGGATAAACAAAAGGTGGTATGTGGTCTATACATACAATAGAACACTACTCAGACTTAAAAAGAAGGAAATACTGATTCACGCTACAACATAAATTAACCCTTAGGACATATGCTAAGTGAAATAAGTCAGTCATGAAAGGACAATTACCATGTGAATCCACATATATGAAGCACCTAGTGTAGTCAAACTTGTAGCAACAGAAGGTGGAATGATCGGGAGTCGTTGCTCAGAGGGTACAGAGTTTCAGTTTTACAAGATGCAGAGTTCTGTGGGTTGGTGCTGCTGACGGCAGCACAATACAAATGTATTTGTGCCACTAAACTATATACATTAAAATTCACCAAGATGGTAAATGTTATGTGTATTTTACCACAATTAGATGTGAATAAAAATGGTTAAGACAAGTGTGGTAGAAGAGAAAGGCGAGAGAAGGACAGCACAATGGATTTCTGGTCGTTGAGTGCTTGCATCTTCATCTACACAGATGATCTGCGTGGAGGAGAGTATATGGTTGCCACATGGTAGATATTCAATTAATGGTGGAGAATATAAAACATAAATGGGAGTAAAATACAGAAGCAGGGAAAAAAAATAAAGATGAAGGTGATAATGTTGGAAGGTGGCATAATTTTATCAAAAATTGCCTTAGCATCACTCCCCATGAATTAACCTTCATTTGTAAAAACTGCCATCTTTCAAGGGGGTAAAATAACAAGCCGGTAAGAGAGTCTATGAATATTCTTTTGCTGCAATGGTAAGTGCTTCTCAATGTGTTCTGGTTGGTAGAGAATCTAGAATGTATTTAAAGTACTAGCAGCAATTAAAACATCTAAGTACAAAATGCTAGGTTGGGCCTCCCCGGTGGTGCAGTGGGTTGAGTGCTGCACTGTGAAGCTGTCTGCAGCCTCTGCAGCGCGGGTTCGATTCCTGGCAGGCCAGGGAGAGTACCACATGGCGCAGCAGATCTCTCCTGTCGTGCCCGCTGCTCCCCTTAGTGTTTTCGGTCCGTCTCCTTGTTCTGCTCCCTGCTCTGTCTCTGGTAAATCCTCTCACCCTCCCACGCCTCTGACTGTACCCCAGTTCTTGTATAAATAAATAAATCTTAAAAAAAAGTTTCTTGAAAAAAAGAAAATGCTAGGTTGCATAAAATAACATTTTGCACTAGACTTGATAGGTATAAAAAAGTCAAAGGAACACTTCATGGGAGAAAATTCTTGAACATTCCATCCATTAACTTAAATTCCCTGCACACTGGGTAAAGCTTCTAGCATTTCTACACCTCAAAGTAGGAAGTTAGGAAATGGGTCTAGGCAGTCAGTTAGGAACAGGGTGACCCAAGCTCCTAAACCTACTTATCAGCCTGATTGAGAAACACTCAGTTGGAGCCTGGAGGGTGTCCCCCAGCCCAAGTACTGGTGCCCTAGGTCCATTTACCAGTCTGATTGGAGAATAATCCCAATCAGGAGGGTGCCCCTGCAAACCCAGTAAAGAGTAGAATGTCTAGAACACCAAAAACAATAACACGATGCTACAGCAGCTGGCCAAAGCTAGTTTTGGGAAGGGAGGCCAGGTAACATGGGCAAACTCAGTGGATCTTGGTAGACTAGGAGAACCCAAAAACTCAGTGGGCCTTGGCGGAGGGTGGAACCTATTGCCACTAGTTGTGGCCTTTCAAACATTTTAAGTCAAATGAAGACTAGTGTAAAGGCACTGATTAAAAAACTTACTAAACAAGGAATCTGAGATGTATTCTAGGGGGTTAGATTCCTTTAATGCTATGAGGCTCTATGGGCTAGTGAGTTCTATTACACTCTTATTTGCCCTTTTGTTTTCTTTCACATATTTTCTCAGAAAACAGCAAAGATACTCAATTGCTAAATACAGAGTTTTAAATTCAGATTTCTTCTTTTAAGAATACTTAAAAGATGGTGTCTTTCAACCACTCTGAGAGCTAGAATGAGGAAAAAGTGCAACCCTAATTAATAAAAGGGGAGAAGGGAAGGACAATTAAGCCTCACCTTAACGATGTCCAGACCGAAGTAACTTGGCTTACACTAGAGCTAAATCACCTGCCTGGGAAATTAAGAGGGTTTTTCAACAAAAAGAGAAAGAGCATAAAATGTCAAAGATCTCTATCTCTCTTCTGAATAAAAAACAAAGGCTTACACTAGAAAGCAAAGCATTCACTTCCAGGCCACTTGCTTTGCAAGCGAAGTTCCACCAAGTATGATTAAGTTACACTCAAATTATGATGCAGGGGAAGCCTTTGGAACAAGATTTTTAGAGCAGCCTTTGGAAGATCTTCCTGAAGGGGCTCCACAGCCTTTCTAAGAGGGTGCAGAAAGGCAGCACCGAAGGTGGGGAAGGCATGCCATCCCTGATGGCCCCTTTAGCTTTTTTTTAGAATTTCTTTTCATGGGCCTCCCTGGTGGTGCAGCCGGTTGAGTACAGTGCTGTGAAGCTGCCCGCAGCCTCTGAAGTGCGGGTTCGATTCCCAGCTGGCCAGGGAGATACCCACATGGCGAGCAGACCTCTCTTGTCTCGCTCACTGCTCCCCTCAGCAGTGTATTTTAGTCCGTCTGCCTGTTCTGCTCCCCGCTCTGTCTCTGGTGAATTCTCTCACCCTCCCGTGCCTCTGGCCTGTACCCCAGATCTTGTATAAATAAATCTTTAAAAAAAATTCTTTTCATGAAGAGAAAAATACTTCTCCCCCCTTGACCAAAAGATACAAGAATATAAAGATAAGGCAATATCAAACAATTCCTCAATTTCTCAGATTATTATAATTGTAATGAATGATAATGATAAAATGGTGGTAATGCACACTTAATAACTATTATTTTGTCACAGAATTACCATGAATACTAATAATGCTAAGTAATGACACTAGGTGCTTATAGAGTCTTCCACCTACAAACTTTATAGTTCACATCTCAGAGATCTTTGTTAACGTGTTCTGAGGTAAGCAATGCTATGGTTCTCATTTTTCAGAAAAGTAATCACACGGAAGCAAGTTCGGAGGTTTGCGGTGATGCTGTGATTCTGCAGAAGAAGCAGAAAGTCACCAAACTTGTTTCATTCCAAGCCAAACCGCTAGTTCGAGATCACATTACTAGATCATTCTTAGCACCTGAAGATGCTATGCACAGGTGGTCTGAAGGCATTTGAAGTGGTCAGGTGGAATGC